GCTGCTGCTTTGCTGCTCCTTGTTGCTGCTGCGCTGCTGCTTTGCTGCTCCTTGTTGCTGCTTTGCTGCTCCTTGTTGCTGCTGTGCTGCTCCTTGTTGCTGCTTTGTTGCTGCTTGCTGCTGCTTTGCTGCTGGTTTGCTGCTGCTTTGCTGTTGGTTTGCTGCTGCTTTGATGCTGCTTTGCTGCTGTTTGCTGCTGCTTTGCTGCAGGAAGCAAACGTAGTATTGGCTGCGTTGCTGCTGCTGCTAAATCTAACAAAGCTGGCGGCCCACAGACAAAAGTTTCTCGCTGCTGGAGGTCTTTACCCTATTGTAGATCTCCTCATGGTAAACCCTAAACCCCAAACCCTAAACCCTAAACCCTAAACCCTTCGCTGTTTTGCTCTGGCGGGCTTCTTTCGCGTGGAGTCAGCAGACTCCTCTTGTTGCTGCTGTTGTTGTTGCTGCAGCCGTTGATGCTGCTGCTGTTGCTGCTGCCGCTGCTTTGCTCCCTTTGCCGCTGTCTGTGATGTTGCTGCTGCTGCCGGTGTATTGCTGTAGCTGCTGCTGTTCATCGGCCTGCTGCTGCGGCCGCTGCTGCTGCTGTTCACTCGCTCGCTGCTGCTGCTACCGTTAATTCTCTTGCTGCTTCTGCTTGCTGCTGCTGCTGCTGCTCTTCACTCTCCTGCTGCTGCTGCTGCTGCTGCTGCTGCTACTGCAGCACAACTACGCCTCAGATCTTCCGGATCGGCGGGCTCTGCTGTCTGCGTTGATGGGAGTTGTGGGGCAGTTGGCCAACGATGAAGAGGCGAGGGCAGACCTCATTGACAGGTTATATCACCAGCTAGCTACACGTGCAGCTAGCTACACGTGCAGCTAGCTACAAGTGCAGCTAGCTACAAGTGCAACTAGCTACAAGTTCAGCTAGCTGCAAGTGCAGCACAGCTAGCTACACACGCAGCTAGCTACAAGGGCTGCTAGCTACACTCTCAGCTAGCTACGCGCACAGGTAGCTGCTGTACACAAGGATGGTTCCAGCTAGCTGTTATTTGGCTGCCGGTCTACTCCTGCTTCCCCCCCCCGTAGCGCCAGCTAGCTAACGATGCGTCTGGCTAGCTAGCTGAGTCGCAAGGCAGCTGTCTGAGTGGCTAGCTAGCTACCCGCGTGGCTAGCTAGCTAGCTAAGTGGCTAGCTAGCTATCTGTTGTGCGCAGGTTTCCGGTTGTTGACTTTGTGCTATACGCATTTCATACAGCTGGAGAAGACGTAGAGTATAAGACAAAAGTGAGGGTGTTTATTTTTTTGTTTATTTTTTTGTTTTTGTTTTATTTCTTGTAAATGTTTATTTGTCTCCATCAATCTGTGCTTCTTCTTTTTACTTCAGTGTCTCTGTCTGTCTCTGTCTTTGCTTTGGTTGTTTGCGCGTTTTGTTTGATAGGCAGGTCTTTTGCTGCCTTCGCATTTCTTTATGCATTTATTTGTTTGTTTGTTTGTTTGTTTTGTTTGTTTGTTTGTTTGTCTGTTTGTTTTGGTTTTGTTTGTTTGTTTGTTTGCTTGTTTTTGCTTGTCTGTCTGCATTTGCTTGTTAGGGTGTTTTTGTGTCTTTATGTATTTGGGTGTCTTTGTGTGTCTTTGTGTATTTTGTTCGTTTATTTATTTTCTTTTGTTTTTCTATTAACTGTTTTCTTTGCAGGCATTTGTTTGTGTCCTTGCATGTCTTTGCATGTCTTTATCTTTATGCGTCTTTACAAATTTTTGTCTATTTTTTGATGTGTCTTTGTAGTGTATGCCTTTGCGTGTCTTTGTAAATTTGTGTGTGTCTTTGCGTGTCTTTGTCTTTGTCTTTGTCTTTGTCTTTGTCTTTGCGTATCCTTGTAGATTTTTGTGTATTTTTGTGTGTCTTTGTATATCTTTGCGTGTCTTTGTCTTTGCGGGTCTGTGCCTTTGTGTGTCTTCGTATATTTTTGTGTATGTTTGTGTGTGGTTGTGTGTCTGTGCGTGTCTTTGTCTTTGTGTGTCTTTGCTTTTGTGTGTCTTTGCCTCTGCGTCTCTTTGCGTATTTTTGTCTCTCTTTGCCTGTCTTTGTCTTTGCATCTCTTTGTGTTAGTGCGTCTTGATATATTTTTATATTGTGTTTTGTATTTTGTTTTTTAAAAATTTGTGTATATTATTGTGTCTTTGTGTCTTTGTGCATATTATTATGTCTTTGTCTTAATGTATCTTGGTGTATATTATTATGTATTTTGTTGTGTCAGTATGTGTCTTTGTCTTTGTGTGTGTCTGCGTATACTTTTGTTTTTGTCTGTCTTTGTGTGTCTTTGTATATTTTTGTCTCTATGCGTCGTTGCGTTTTTTTGTGTATTTGTGTGTCTTTGTGTCTTAGTGTGTCTTTGTGTATATCTTTGTGTCTTTATGTGTCTTTCTATATATTATTATGTCTTTGTCTTTATGTGTCTTTGCACATATTATTATGTCTTTGTCTTTATGTGTCTTTGCATATATTATTATGTCTTTGTCTTTAT